TACTGTGAAAGTTAAGTGCTATTGCAATGCACACCCTCTGAGTGGTAAAAGTGCAACTATTACAGACTCCCTCTTTTAAAGGCTATGATTTAACTTTTGGTCATTTTTTTTCTTTTCTTTTTTTTTTTTTTTTTTCTTTCTCCTCCAAGCTATCCCATTTGGCAAAATCCCCATTCTGGAAGTAGACGGAGTTACCATTCACCAGAGCCTGGCAATAGCAAGATACCTTGCCAGAGAATCAGGTAACACATATTTGATTATTTTCTTGCTCTGTTCTGCACCCACCTTTAATGCTCAGGAAAAATATGTCCACAGCAAAAATAGAAACAAACCAACAGCTTGGCAAGCCCAGCCAAGCAGAAGTCAACATCAGCATGGCAATACTGGTACTAATGCTTTTCCCAGGCACAAACAGCTAACAGTTATCAGCCTCTCATTGCATCTGTAGTTTATCTGCCAGCGCCAAGTGCTGACCACAGAAATCCAGTGTACCATATAGGATGCTATTAGAGGTGTCACTCAAAAAGTGATGGTTTAAAAAGCACCGAGGAGTGCTGTGTGGTGGCATGCCCATGTTCAGCAGCCTTTCTTACCATAATTTGTTGCCAATTTTGCTTGCTGGGTTGGGGCTGCTGTGACAATCCTGATGAGATCTCAGGCTACAGCCCCTGCAGTTCCAAGATCAGAAAGAAGAAACAGAGCAAGACACATCTGCTAGGATGCTGTACGACAGGGTTGAGAGTCATTCAAATGTCATGTAGAAAGTGGAAAAAAAAAAAAAAAAAAAAAAGACAAAAATGATTCAAAGTAACAACCTGTAGTGTGAAACGCTACCATGTTCAGAGCTGAAGTCAGGTGGCTGAGCTCCTTATTTGCACTGTAAGTGCATATGCCTAAAGGAAAACTCAGAAATGACACCCACCCCCCTCCCCCCATCTGATTGCGTTTCCCCTCTGCACACAATACCTGGGGTTTGGGCTGACTTCTCCAGCCAATAAACTTCATTCACCTGTCACTGCACAACAGAAAGCGTGTACCTGTGGCTTCCCTAAGGCTCTCAGGCCAGTTTTCCATGGAGCTAAACTTTGAGCTGCCAGGCTAACCAGAGAGATGACCAGGAGGAGGAGGTTTTGGAAGCATTAGAGATTATCACAGTCAGCAGGCAGAGCACTCTGAAGCAGATTTAGGCAACAATTCTGAGCTGGCAGAGAGATTAGATCAGATGGTGACATCACTTGCATCTTTAAATACTTACATGCTATGGAAATACTCGACCTCGACCAGTTAGATAAAATGGTATAAGACTTAGTAATGCAAATAATCAAAGAGAGTAGTCAAGGATTGCTTTAGGTCAGCAAGCTGTCATTCAAAACCATCTGCAAAACCCGTCTGGTCGAAGGTGGATGTGTTCATGGTGTGCTGAACATCAGCAAATTGAAGTGGGGGGCTGGGAAGCAAGTAGTATCCTACTTTTTTTACACTCTGAGCACAGAGACGTAACCTGCCTTTCAAAATATCTCACATTTTCCAACTGAGGAAACAGGCAGAAGTGCAAAGCCTTATTCTTCAAAGCACTAGCACAACATATTTTCAGGCATGTCTGCATACTGTGGTTCCTGCCAATTTACTCCATCCTTGATACAATCTACTACTTGCAAGAGAAGAGTATGACAAGCGTCCACCTGGTAATGAAAAACGATGAGAAAGCCTGCCTTCCACCCACACTGCCTCCCTCCCATCTCCTATCGGGAGGCTGATCTGGAGCTGTGCTCCTTTTACGGTCCGAAGTTCTGACGTAGGCATTCCCCCAACCCCTTTTCCACCAGCTTGCCACAGCCACAAAGGCTAGGGTTCTGGCAAATCCTAGCACACTCAGGCCATGCTGTTCTCCTTTTGCTGTTAATCACACTGTCAGCTACAGCAGGGAAAAAAAATATTTTCAAATTCATAGTGAAAACTTGCTACTGCTGCTAAGTCTGCATATGTGTCACTGAGCCTTTAAAATTAAGAAATGGCATTTTTAGGTGCCCGTCACTAACAACTCTTTACTGAAGGCTCACAGAACTTGATGCCCAAAAGGAGAGGCACATCCCTTTCCTTTAAAAGCATAAAGCTTCAGTAAGGGAGAGGACTTGGCAGAGGAAGGGCATATGGTTTATGGGAGCCACAGAGCTTCCAGGTGAGGCTTAAAGAACCAGAGAGGAAGAGGATGACCTGAACCTGCAGGGAGGTGAAAGCATGAACACAGGTCTGTGGAACAAGAGCAAGGGAAAAAAGTAGTAGCATTGAGAAGACTGCAGGAAAGCCAACAGACAACAGGGGAGGAAAGCAGATTTGTAAACAAGACAAAGTTTGGCTAATGTGCCTGATTAACATGAAGTAATCGAAAGAAAGCAGGATGTCACAAGAAGGTTCAAAATGGGACTGAACAGGCAGGACAGAGGGAAACAGAAGCAGACTTTCACAGAGGCACTTTTGGAGGTTGTGTTGAGCGACAGAAAGACCATGAGATGGATAAGGGCATTGGAAGCTGGGACAGAGAAAGATTAACAGAAAGGAATTAGTGCTGACCCTCACTGAATGTCCTGAGATAGTGGAAAGCAGAGAGAAGGATAAAGAAGCAGTAGTCAGGCCACAGGCTCAGGTGGTGGGAAGAACAACTCACTACCTCGGATGGCTATATGAGGCTGGACGGAGAAGAAAGCAAAGGTCGATGAGATTGCATCTGGATGCAAGGAGTCAAATGCATGTTGTTAGCATCAAAAAAGCCCCGGAGAGCATGTGTGTTTATGGAAATGTCCACAAAGAACAAGGTTTACCTTTGGAGCATCAAAAATTCCTGCTGATGCTGTCTCTAACCTCCCTTCGTATGCTTGCTTCCCACAGGTCTGGCAGGTCAGACGCCTGTGGAACAGGCGCTAGCTGATGCCATTGTGGACACCATAGATGATTTCATGACGCTGTTCCCTTGGGCAGAGAAAAACCAGGACGTGAGAGTAAGACAATCACTAGTTTAAACAAAGATAGCACATAAGCCATGACTCTGCACCTGAGCATCTCCTCTGGAGAAACTGCTGTGTGCCGACCCCTGGGGCCATCACCTCACCTCAGCAAAGCCGAGCTGCAGGAGCTCTATGCTTCTTCCTCCAGGCTAATCCAGCCAAGGCCTTCTGCTCCCTCCCACCTCCTCCTTCACCAGATTTTTTTTCCACCCTCAGTGGAAGCAATGATGAGGCCATTATGAGCCACCCCTCACTGGTTCACCTTGAATCCAGGATGCCATACATGCATACATCAAACTGCTCTTCAAAGGGGAAAGACAGGCCACTTCCATCCCAGCCAGCACCATGCGATACCTGTATCTTGTTGCAAACAGAATAAGCGCAAATCTTTCCCTTTTTGTTAACTGAACAGGATTAACAGCTCTGTCCCATCTTCCTTTTGCCCTTCTGTATCTTGATTTGTACTTGGCTTTTAATAAGTATTAATCTTCAATAACTTCAGCTGCCAGGGACAAACGCTTTTCAGTTACCAGGGTGGTGTAGGACAGCAGGCATTGCTAAAGAGGGGAAGTAGCACATCCCTCACTGTCACTGAGGCCGTGCTCTTCAGATCCCCGCAGCCCCACCTCTGTCCTCTGCGGTGCTTCTGCAAATACTGATGCCAGGCTAACACACTGCCATGGCTGCTTTAACACACAGTTACAGGCAAGTCCTACAGCATTTGGGTTTTTTCTTTTGGCATCAGTCCAGCCCCTCTCACCACAGCCCCAAATGCAAGCATGCAGATCAGCTGCTGGGGAAGAGGGTGATGGATGAGTTAACTCCAGCATTACAATGGCTCCGCGCAGCTCTGACCCAAGCAGGTGACCTGACCCTTTTAGGAAACTGGTAGTGTAACAACAGGTCTCACCATTAACTGTCAGCGCAGCCACCTTCCATTTATTCAAAGGTAACATTTCAGAGAGACTAGGGTATCTTATTACAGAAACCACAGAGTACAAAATGTTGACCAAAACCAATACTAAATAATGAAATGATATGAAAGTGCTCTGAAATCTTGCAGGGGAAAATCTGAAAGTGTATCTGGAGGTTTTAGTATTCAAAAATGTGAATTACTTAATCTCCATGTGATTTCCTGAAGTTTCCTCCTTTGAGGAGGGGAGGTTGACTCATGATTTTTAATCATGTAGGAACAGCCACACTGTTGCTAACGTGTGAGTGTAGAAGAGCACTGCTGCCACAGTACCGCTACTCCGTTACAGGGAAACTCCCATGATAATGCCTGCATGTGTCCCACCGCGTACTCAAGCACTTCTCCAAAATAAGGGCCCAGATCATGTCACCAGTGATTAATTTAAAAGGGAAGAGAGTTCACAGGCAACCCTTACATGCCTGTACTCACATATGTGTGCAAGGGAGTGTTTTGGAGCCAAGGAAGATTGAGAAACTTACTTTCAGGGAATCTAACATTTTTCTCACTGTTAGCTGTTCTCCTTCTCTCCTCCCGGGTTCACTGCCACCACCTTGTGGTAGAAGGGGCGTCTTATGGTCTCACGGGGCCAGAATTAAGTAATTTACACACAGTAAAGTCAGAAAACTTCCCCAGGCCTGACAAGTGGTTACAGGAACACCCATCCCTCAGAGAAGGATGAAAGGATGTGTTATGCTATCTAGCCAGTAGCAAAGAAAAAACCAAGCAAGGTAAAGGGAACAGAAGCTGCCCACGGAAGCTCCTTCCATGCCAGGTACAGATTCTCCCTTCACCCTACACCCCCCCAAAAAACAGCTGGCCTTACAACAGCTTTGTCATGCATTACTGGAGAGCTCCAGGGTTGAGACAAGTGGGTCATGCCACTCCAGAAGGTGGATCCTGGTCACGTCCCCACCAGCTTCACAGGTTGACTGCGTACTTCTGTAGTTGGGGAAGGTCATTACTGTCATGATCACACAATAGTTTGGATTTTTTTTGGCGGGGGGGGGGGGGGGGGGGGGATTTACCTAAAAAAAAAAAAAAAAAAAAACAAAAGGAGAAAAGGAAATGCTATATCACAGGGTACAAATATGAAATTTCTGGACTGCAGACTTCTGGCTGTTACTTGCAATCACAACATTCAGTTATGAAGCTCTTAACAGACAGCAGAAAATAATGTCTAATTTTCAAACGCGTCTGCAGAAATACTGGTTTTACTTCAGCCTGCATTTTTGGGACCATTTAGGCTGCTCCCTCTTCTAAATTTTATTCTTTTTTCATTAATCTGAATTTCAAAGGTGTTGAAATAATTCCATTCCTGTATAGCAGTACTTATTTAACCAAGCCTGAGTACGTTCCTCCAAAATTAGGCCAGGCACGTTAACTGCACTAACTGCGCTACATGGGTCAGACCAGATGATCACAACAGTCTGCAATCTCAATTGCTTCCATGCAGGTGAGAAGAGAAAACCAGAAACAGTTTTCCTCTCCAAAGAAAACAGCTAACCCTTTAAAAGGAGCCTTAAAACTTTCTGCTATGGGAAACAGATAGCGGAGAGCCACCACCCTACACAACCTCATCCTTCACCCATTAACATACAAATACTAAGGTCCATACCCTTCAATACAGATTTCAGCCTTTAAAAACATATTTTAACCATCTCAAATCTCAGTGCTGCAGAGACAAAAAAGCAGAAGAGCCTGCTAACATAAAAGTTCAAAGATAAACCCAGCAAAAGCTCAAAACCCAGGTTCCATACCTCACACATGAAGGGCTGGTAAGGAAAGATAACCAACCAGCATCTGACTGACAGCACGGAAAGACTGAGCTTAAGGGATTCTGGAAAGTTGAGACCCCGTACACTAAAAAACGTAACACTCAAAAAGAGTCCCAAAAAAATGACCGTGAGACATTTGGAATATATTTTATAGATGGATTCTTCCCAATCTATGGCAGGGCTCCTGTCTTGCCTCTGCTGGGTGGCTGTTAGCAGATAAACGAGCAGCACCCCCCCACACATCGTGCCTCAGCATCCAGGAGCTCTCAGTCATGGTTCACTGAGCCACCAATGCCATGTTTTGGGCATCTAACCCACTTCATGGGCAATTACCTCAGCTTTCCTAAATTCTATAGTACCCCTTTGCAGGTATCCAAATGCCAGTTACCTCTACATTTCTTTACTTATCTTAAATAATTGCCGTTTGCTGTATTAATCCTGACTTGGATGTTAACACATTCCTTCTTCCAAAGGAAGAGAACTGAGAGTACTCTAAGGTTTGGGTCAGACCAAACGATTCGACTGTCGCATTTTTCAGATTTCAGCATTCTTTTTCACAAGAAACCGCCCAAAAGTTCAGTTTTGCTGCCTGCTGTGCTTACACATATGTGTTTCATTCTCCCCCCAGAAAAAAGCATTTGACAATATCCTGACCAACAAAGCACCTGAGTTACTGAAAGATTTGGATACTTTCTTAGGGAATAACAGCTGGCTGGTAGGGAAGTCTGTAAGTATAATTTTTGTTTCTCCCATTCCAATCAGGTTGCCAGAAGACTAAAATCATTGACTATTGTTGAATTTCTGGATCTTATGCCAGCCCATGAAACAACCCCCCCCACTCTTAACTCCTTGTTCTTACCAACACGCAATTGGTTGCCTCAATTGCAAAGTGAAAATTGTTTTCCATGCTATTAGAAAAATGAGGCAAACCAGGACTAGGATCTGCATTTTCTAAACCAGAAGTATGTTGACACAAAACATTATAATGTTTTTGTACTAGTCAATACAGATGGGAGTTGTTTAGAACTCTGCTTATAATTACTGATCAATTTAGAGGACATTATGAAAAAAACCTCTATGAAAACATAATCCCCTTTTTTACCCAAAACTGGAAACTAATTAAAACACTTTTCTGCAGCACAGTTTCAGCAGAAGCAGGAAAGATTAATATTATAATGCAAGTAGTATTTGTAGCAAGGACTTTATTTAACCAGTTTTTACTTAAGTCAAGCCTTGCATTGCAACCTAACTACTAGCTCTGTAATTATAGGCTTTAAGAGAAAAAACAAAACAAAAACAAAACACTTACACAAAACAGATCAATTCATGTTTCCTTTCTGCAGCTTGCTCAGAATATTAGTAGCCCCAGCTTTTGATGTTACCGACTAAAATTTACTGCTTTATCTCCCATTTCCACCAGGTAACATGGGCTGATTTCTACTGGGATGTGTGCAGTACGACACTTCTGTCCTGTAAACCTGACCTAGCAGACAACTACCCCAGGCTTTTGGCTCTTAGAGACAGAGTGCAAGCGCTTCCAGCTATTGCAGCCTGGATCCAGAAAAGACCGAAGACTGTAATGTAGATCAGCTGTTCAGACTGGAAAACACAAATGCACATTTAGTTTTGAACATGACAAGTGTCCTAAGTTATTAATTTTAGAATAATTTAAATTAATTTCAGATGGGTATGCTGTACCAAATCAAGACCTACCACTTGTATCCATTTATAGGAGAGAATTTAAAAAGCTGATTTAGTAGAGTAGAGCCTGAGGGAGAGGTGTGGTTTCAACCACATTCCCCCCACTGCTAATAAAATGCTTGATCAAACCAACTAATGTTCTGTGGGCTCTCAAAGGGAGAAGAGATGAATAAACCTTCCCGGAGAGATGCAATCTCAACAATACTTTGTTTATTGCAGACCTTCAATCTGGAGGAAAGCAGGCTAATTAACAGAGAGGATAAATATGTGGGAGAACTAAGGTCATTAAGCAAAAAAAAGAAAAAGAAAAAAACAAAGACCCACTTAGTCAACAAACTTGAAGCTTCTCAAGCACTTTCTTTCTTTAGGCTCTTGCAGTTTATGCTGTGCCACTGAAAAAAAAAAAAAAAAAAACAAACCCACAAAAAAAAAAACCAACAACAACAAATCCAAACCCAACCACATCCCCTAAAAAACACACCAAACAGCCACGCAGCCAAGCTGGTGGCCACACCAGCACCAGTTCTCCATAAGTAGACCAGCTGCAAAAACATTCAGCAGCTCATTATCTTTCTCTCCCAGTAAGTAGGAGACACAAGTTGGGGGGCGGTGGTGGCAGGGGTAGAAACCAGGTTTAGAACAAATGAATGAACAGTTTGTTCTTCTGGCACTGGGGAAAAGAGGTAGGTGGAAATCCTGGCAACATGGACGGTTGTAGATGCAAGCGGTTTACACAAACTCAAGGGGAGACAAGTGCTTGCAAGAGGACTCCACTGTGTGGTGTAAGCAGATAAACCACAACCAACTTGGGCAATCCTGTGGGCTGAAGATGGCCACTGTTAGGAAAGTATTTCCCTTCACACTTGCTTTTCCCTCCCACCGTAAGAATTATTTCATTGGATCGTATGAGTAACACCTACCAACCTCTGACAGTTCAGAGACAAACCAGGTATTGGCAGAACTGAAAGCAAGGTCCAATCTTTGGCTCATTCCAATATGGCGTCTCCACCTGCTTTGCAATTCCTTGCACGCTTTGTTGTAGCTCTTTACAGATTTTTTTCTTCTTCAATTCCCACTGTCCTCTCTTCTTCAGCAACACACTTAAGATAGTTGTATTTCCCCCCCCCCCCCCCCGCCCTTTTTCCCCCCCAATAAACAATAACAAAAAAATAGTAAGGGGAAGGGACCTCTGGAGGTCATCTGGTCCAAACTCCCTGCTCAAGCCAGGCCACCCAGAGCCAGCTGCCCAGGACTGCATCCAGATGGCTTTTGAATATCTCCAAGGATGGTGACTCTACAATCTCTTAAGATCCCCAAGTAAAGAGGGTAAAAAGAGTTACCGTAAACAAAAAAAAGGTAGAAACACATATGAGCTTCAAAGCACTTGAAGACAGGTATTGATCCCAGGGGTCCAGGGATGTGATGGTTTAAAGAGTAACCACTGCTCAGCCAGACTACATTAACTAATTACATCCACATACCAAACCAAACCGCCACACCACACAAACCACCCTATAGGGCAGGCATTTGCTTTCATTTCACATTTGAAGCAAACAGGTGAGAACATGCAAATACAGTGGGTCAAGAGTTGGGCTAGGATCATGCTCAACAGAAAGAGACAACCTCATGAACTGCAGCTTGTGGTTGTCTGTTAAATTCCACTATTTAGTCCAACAAAACAGATGGAATTAAAGAAACACAGTAGACAAACTGATTCTTACCCTTCTCCCTTCCCATATAATGAAGTATTTCTTCACCCTATTGCAGCTGTGCATTTTGGAACACGCAGCACAGCCCCAGAAGATTTCTGGTAAAAGCCGAGTAAAGTTTAGTTCCAACTTTGAAAACATTTTAAAAGCTTTCATTTTCCATCCATTTTGTACTGTCAAAAATCATACACAGTTGGAAAAAATACCCACAGCCGCAACCAAACAAGAGAACCTGGATGCCCAACTCACAGATCACCTCACTGACTAATCACTAGCAGTATCTGAAGACAAGACAAAACAGTGAGCAACCATGGACTCCAGCTCCTCTTCCCTACTCTTCATATAAAACTGTTTAAGTTCCTTCAAGAGATGCAACAAGTGTCCTCTGTCTTTGATAACCACATAGAGAAAAGTGGTAACTGTCAACCCCATATTGCAAATCAGAGTGAATTCTAGGACGCAATCCTCTCAGAGATTCAGCCTGGTACAGATTTGCTGAGCTCTGCACAGAGCATACAGCAGCTGAGGCCTTAACCAAGGGTAGAGGCAATAAGGACTTCCCCATACTTTGCCTTCCCGCAGCTTCTAAAAAAGCAGCAGTCTGAATCTTAACTACTCCGAGTTCAAAAGACAAAATTACAGTCTTTTCCTCTGTCCAGGGACATGGACATCCTCCTCTCCTACCTCCTCAAATCACATCCTTGCCAGCAGATTATAAGCTTCAGGTGGAGGCACACCTCATCACTGATACCACTGAAGCTCTTCATTTCACCAAGATGAATTAAAAATTCACCGAAACTTCAAGAAGAGAGCAAGACATAAGCTTTGTGTTTAGGGCACTTCATTGGCAGAGCGCAGGTCTGGTATGTACACCAAGGACTGACAAAAAAACCTGCAACCTGGGTGGAAAGTTCCATTTGGCAGGAATTCTGTTTCTATAATCAATATCCTAACACAACTGTGATTAGTGTATAATGAAACACTAGTAATTAACTACTGCTGGATAAAGCCAAGTCAGTTCAAATGGAACATTTCAGCTAGTTTTAAAGCTGCCTATTTGATTTGTAACATGCAAGTTATCACTCCCCCCCACCAAATAATCACAAAATGAAATCATTTTGTTAATCTATCGAATTTTATTTGAACAAGTTGATACAAAACCAGTACGGTACATCAAATGAACCAAAACAAGCAGAAACAGACTCAAGCATTGTCAAATAAGGCACATATAAAAAAATCTACACGCGTAATCCAGTGAAACAGACAGTTTATATATATATATTTGGAGGTAGAAATAATTACAAAAATACTGACAAATCTTAAGCAGTAGCAGATTTGTTAAAACAATTACTACTTAGGTCCCCATTTTGAAAAGTGATCTGTAAAATAATGTTTATTCAGCATCCGATGTTGGCACATTTGGGCCATTTATGTTTTTAAGCATCAAAAGAATGCTATTGGTGTTAAAAATTTTCAATACCATGAGGAATACAATAAAGAAACTACAAAAAGTTATAAATGTTCTTAAAACTCATGGTCATCAGTAATGTAAGAGTCCTTGGGGTACAACATCACCTTTCTTCCTTGAATTCCACAACGTATTTACATTTTAGAGACCTAACGAAGCTTTTAATAGTGTGGCTATATCTGCTGGAATGGTTCCTTCTTCTCCTGAGGAATAAAAACAAGTGTTAGTACAGCTCAAAATATTTCACATAAACAGATAAAAGTCTAGATCCCCAAAACTGTACAAAATCCTCTAGTTGTAGGAGTCTGCCATTCATTTGTAGGTCAGACTCAGATGGCACTTCCTGTCAAACCAAACAATAATCAGCACAAATACATCTTTCTAGTTTATTTAACATGAGAGGGGGGAAAAATAGAAAAAAAAAAAAGGCTTCTCTGCATCAAGAACCTTGTTTTTTCAGAATAATATATTGCAGCAACCTTAATTCACTTAAGTGGACATCATTATGTACAAGAGACTTACCTGCATCTGCTGCAGTCATATCTTGTTCTAACTTCAATTTCTGCTGGCTGATTTTGAGCATGGATTCTTCAATAGTCCCCTTACTGATTAGCTTTATGACTTTTACCTCTCTGAAAACCACAAAATAGGATAAATCCATTTTTATAGTTTCTTTGGATTAGTGCAAAAGGGAAGGATGCTATGCCTTTGCTCAGCTGGCAGTGGTTTAAAACAAGGAGGAGGAAATGAACAAAAGGGCAATACAAAATGTTTCTAGTTTTTCTGTCTGGACCAACTGTGCTCTCTACTGCCAGAAAACTTTTTTTGTCCTGCACTCCCAGCCACTGCAAAGTCTGGGCGGTCACAAAAATCTCTCTTGATAGAAACAACTCAGCTTCCCCCTCACCCCATACTACAGCTGAAGTACCAGTTATTAAACATATTCTGTTGCTCACATTAGCTTATTCTGAGGACTCTAAAACAGTCCATGGTTTCACTCTTTATGACAGGGTGGCACTTTAGAGCTTAAAATCTCCTGAAGAGAACAAACAGCTTTGCCAACCAGTCCCACAGACTTCAGATCTGCCTTGAAGTAGTTCCTAGCACCAGAAAGTGGAGATTATAGAGAACGTGAGAGTTACAGAGAACTGGAAAAAAGGAGGAGAACGCAAATAAGGTTTGTTCCGGCAGCAACATGTGCTAAAACAATTACAGTTACCTAGCTCCCACACAACCCAGAGCTGGTTTATGCAAGTCTCTGCTTAAAATGGAATTTTTAACCATAAAATATTGTACTTTTAGCCTCCTTTGAGAGCTTGCCTCCAAGAAGAGCCAAGTATTATAATTAAGAAGTCTCACCTTGTCTGACCTACTCTATGGCATCGGTCTTCTGCTTGCTTATCATTGTATGGGTTGCAATCAATGTCATGAAGAATAACAACATTTGCTGAGGTCAGATTAATTCCCAAGCCACCAGCTTTGGTTGACAGGAGGAATACAAATATACCCATATCTGTATTGAACTGATCTATTAGATGTATCCTGCAGAACACAAGAAAACATGCATCAGGCCTTGAAGAAAACACCACACTGGCTCCACAGTTGAATACAGAAGTTAGGATGATGATCTTTTGAAAGGGAGGACAGTGGCACTGCAAAGCAGCTCAAAAGTACAGATGTTATTATGTAGAAGGAAAAAGGATACCAACAGTCCTCAGCCGTGACCAGAGAAACATACTCAGAGCGACAGATCGATAGCAAAGACTGAAAACAGGCTTGGAAAAAGGCTTTTGGATTATCACAGAATACAGAGAACAAGTTGGAGGACAAGGGAAGACTGAAGTA